GAAGATCTAAGTTTAACTCACAGTATAATAAAAGCATTTTGGAGGCACCTATTGGGTACCAACACATGTTTATTGGGTCTTTTAATCTTCACGATAGCAGTAGATACTGTATGTGTTTATGAATAGAGGATTAGAGTTGGCTTAATTGCCCAACATCACAGAACTGAATTTTTTTTTCTTTTTGGTTCTGGGAATTGAACCTAAGTCCTTCACACAGCGCTACATCTTTAGCCCTTTTTTATTAGAGGTCTTGCTAAATTACCCAGGCTGTGCTCATATTTGTAATCTGCCTACCTCAGCCTCCCAGAGTGCAGGATGCATGGTGTTTGCCACCATGTCTACTTGGATTAAATTGCAGATAGACAAATAGATGGTTTTATTTTTTGCAGGATTAAATATTGAACCTAGCTATATCTCTAGTCCTTTTATTTATTTTATTTATTTATTTTATTTTTTAACATAGATTGTTTGGGCTTGTTTTTATTTTTTGAGACAGTCTTTCTATATAGTTAAGGCTGGCCTTGAACATATGCCAGGTGGCTTTGAACTCCCAAGTGCTGGAATTATTGGTGTGGTAGCACTCGGATTTGAACTGCAGATTAGCTGATTCTGAAGCCCACGTTCTTAACTGTTATGCTGCACTGACTTTTTAATGTCCCCTTCCTACTCTCATGTCTCTTATCTTGACGAAGTCACAATCCCCTCAGTGTCCAGAGAAGTCTTGTCCCCTGGGCCACCCTCATACAGAGCTTCCACACTACTAGATGCTGAGGCAGGATCTGTTTATTTTCTTTCTTTCTTTCTTTTTTCTTTTTTGTATTTTAGGGAAGGGTTTACAGGGTGTTCAGGGTCTCACTACTAGATCAGACCGTAGTGATCCTCCTATTTACAGCCTCCCAGGAGCTGGGATCACAGGCGCGCCACCACACCCACAGGCCCTGGAATCTGTTTCTAAATCCTCTTATTTCGTAAGTTCTTTAGTTCATCTTATTAAACACTTGACATTATTATTAATTTTTTTCTTTTCCTAATGTTCTTTCATGTATTGTTCATTCAGAAACTTCTTGAGTACTGGTTCTTCTAGGGATTGGTGTGAATATCCAGTAGGCATTAGAAAAAGTTACAGGGAATTTAGGCAGCTCTTTGGTAGAGCTCATGCGTAGTGTGTGTGGGTCCTGGGTTCAGTCCCTGCCACCAAACAGAACAAGAAAGCGACAGACCAGTGCGAATCCTAGCACTCATCTGTGTAGTCTAGTCTAGAAGAACAGTATAGTTAGCACAGTGCTGTTGCTCCCGCTGGGCCTGGCTTCTGTGTTGCTGCCTCATGTGCCATGTTTTGAATTTACCCCAGTTGCTCTCGGTCTCAGGCTTCTGCTCACGTTATTCCTTGTGGCCTAAATTCTTTTAAGAGCAGCTAAAATTTACCTTCTTTCCAAAAATTACTACAATTGGAGTTGCTCTCCTTCTAATGCTCATACAGGGATTTGTGTTACAGTTAATGAGTACATCTGTCTCCTACTAGTCTGACCCTTGGAGCATAGAGTAGACATCTTTGATTTTTCTTTTTTTCTACCTTTTCTTTAAAAAATGGAGCTGGCAGTTGAACCCAGGGCTTCAGACATGCTATGCATGTGCTCTATGACTAAGTTATGCCCCCCTCCCTTGCTTGTAAAGATTATTTTCCAACACTAGAGATTGAAGCTAAGGCCTTATGTATGCTTCATTGAGCTACATTCTCAGCTCTTCTTTGTTTTAAATCAGTGTCTCACTAAATTTCCCAGACTGGCTTTAACTTGGTGACCCTTCCACCTCAGAGTTCCAGGTAGCTGGAATTACAGGTACATGCCACCCACTCAGCTTTTTATTTCAAAATAAATACAGACTTGAAAGAAGTTGCAAAAATAGTACATAGAGCTCTTTGTATCTGTCACCTGGCTTCCTCAAAATATGACATCTTAGGTAGCCTTAGTAACAATATCAAACTCAAAAAGTGTTATTATAACTAGTCTGCAGACCTGAGTTTTCACCATGCAGCACCTATTTATTCATTTATTTTCTTCCGATTTTGGAGATCAAACCCAGGCCTTCTGCATGGTAGGAAAGCACTCAACACTGAGCAGCACCTCCAAGTTTTCAGTTTTTAAAATAACAAAATGGTATTACAGAAAATTAAAATAAGAGAAAAACGCAAAAATAATGATCCAAGCTATGGGTGGTGGTAGATTCAAGCCCAAGACAACTTAGTAACTTGGTAAAACTGTCTGAAATATATAAAAGAAAAAAAGGGCTAGAGATATAGCCCTGTGTGAAGGGCCTGGATTCAGTACTATGAAAGAAAAAAGAGAAGAGGCAAGATAAGATCTGCATAACAAGCGTGTGGGTGTGGCCTCTTTCGTAATATCTTCAGACTTTACTGCATGCTTCTGTGACTGTCTTGCCATTATTTTGTAAATAGGACTATATCTTTTTCAGACCTTCAGAAAAGTCTGTATTTTTAAGTGAATCTGGAAGCTTGGTTAATCTTTTTGTTTGTTTTAATGATGCTGGGAATAGAACCCAGGGCCATATGCATGCTAGGCAAGTGCTCTTACCACTAAGCTACCCTGCAGCCAATACCATTAATCTTTTTTTTTTTTAGGACAGGGTCTACAGGGTCTCACTGCATAGATCAGACTCATAGTGATCCTCTTGTTTACAGCCTCCCAAGTGCTGGGATTACGGCGTGCACCACCATGCCCAGTCTCAGTGCGGGCTGGCACAGCAGGCCTGGCGATCAGACTGGCCCCTGTGTCTGCCTGAGCAGGCACTTTAATCTGCTGAGTTATTTGGCCAGCCTTCATACCATTAATCTTGATATGGAGAGGTCAGCCCTTCAGCGGAGATGGAGAAGGAAGTATGAGGCTCAGAGGCAATTGTGTGTCAGATTGTATGCTAGGTCACCGAGAGACAAAACTTTCCAGGTAGCCTATTGAAATCATATAGCATGCCGGGGCCAGGGAGATAGCTCAGTAGAATAAATGCTTCCCTGACAAGCGCAAGGGCCTGAGTTCAATCCCTAGTTCCGAAAAAAAAAAAAAAATCTAAATTTGGGCCGGGGAGATGACTCAGTAGGATAAGCGCTTGAATGGCAAACGCAAGGATCTGAGTTTAATCCCGGGTTCCGCCAAAAAAAAGAAAACAAAACAAAAAAAAAAAAAAAGAAATATGTAGCATGAACGGAAAGTCATTAAGAATAGAATAAAGTTGATGGGAAAAGACAATTTATCAGAAGACTGAGTCTTTATCTCATTTTCTATCTCCAGGAGAAAAACCTTTTCTTTGTGAAGCCCAAGGATGTGGCCGTTCTTTTGCTGAGTATTCCAGTCTGCGAAAACATCTGGTGGTTCACTCAGGTATGAAAACTTATACTGTTTATAGATTTCAAGAAAGGAGAAAGACTTAGAGGGGAGCATGGAATAAAGAAATTAAAAAAAAGAAAGAGCCTGTTTACCCTGAACATAAAGCTTTTGACTCACGACTGAATCAGAAGTCAAGGCCCTTAATAATTATGTTTAAAGGGTCTCAGAAACAGTAGGGAGGGATCTAATAGTATTTTCTGCTGAGTCATGGAAGTACTTTCTAATGCAGACATTTTATGAGATCAAACTTTCTCACATTGTTCTGGATCCTTTGAAAGTTACATTAAACACGGATCTTGTCTTTTAGGAATTTCCATTTCATTCCTTGGGGGAGGATTTCAGATCAGAAGGAAGCTAGGAGTTAGGAAGCTGTTAGGGATAGCAGCACAAGTAACATTAGCTGCCCGGGAAGGTTGGTTATCTTACTCAGTCAGCATTTTGGTAGCAACCAGTCTTTGACTATTAGGACATATTGTCACCAAAAGTCCAGGAGACAGAAAAGTTTTAATGACCCATTTTCTGTTTAGCATTTTTAAATAATTCCTTGTAATTCTGTCAAATTGCTCATTCTGTACAGATGACCTGGTCTTCCCTGCTACAGATGTCTTTCAAAATATATGAAAATATTCAACATCAACCAGACCTTGTAAGCTCAATAGAAAAAGCTAAAGTTTTCCTTCTCTCCTTTCCTATCCTCCCAAACAGAGCCTACAGCTGTGTCTTGGTGGGACTGCTACCTCTGAGACTTACAAATTACATTGAAATCAGGCTGAAAACATAAGTTGAGAGGGGCCTAAAATACCAGGAAAGGATTTGTAAAGTGTACTGAAGGTGCATCTAGATGAGAACTCATTTTACTGTAGCTTAATCTGGTAGTGATGCATGAACTAAACTGAGAAGAGAGATTTTTTTTTTTTTTCCTTTTACAGTATGGTCAAGAATCTGTCGCAGAGCTAAGGATGTTGTTCAGTGGGAGAGCACTTGTCTGGTATGTGTAAGACCAGAAAAAAGTCTACTCCAAGGCAGTCCTAGAGTGCTATGGAAAGAGATCCAGTAGCAGCATCTTTGTGATTCCACAATTGATTGGATATAAAGAAACAGGGACACAGAAGCAGAGAAGACTATTGGTGATTCACGAAACGTGGTAGTGAAGATAAGGAAGAAAGCTGGCCACCTCATTGTCGGACTGGCTCACAGATTTATGAGGACAGAGTGTTGGAAGAGATGACAGTGAGGATTAGAGGAACCCAGCAGGCCCATCTTGGGATTGGGAAAATTCCAACTTGTTAATTGACTGAACTAAAAGTCAGGAGTAAAGGGATTGGGAAGTAGCAGTGAGTGTTCAAGGCTAGTCAGAACTACACAGTGAAACTGGCTCAAAAAAAAAAGGATTCAGCAAAGTCTAATGTTGCAATTGAAGTCTTTCTGAATCCAGACCTTTTTGCTTTCACTTGTATTTTCATTTTTACTGCAGAGCAGTTAGATCTTACAGAGTATCATACATTCTGGATTTGTTAGTTTCCTTTTATGTCATTTAATTTGTTTCCTTGGTTATTTATTTTTATGTATTTGGTCCAGGGTGTCAGTATACAGCCCAGACTCGTAGTGACCCTCATGTTCTCAGCCTCCCCAGTGCGGGGTGGCCAGCCCAGTGCACGCAGGGGCGGGGGCCTGTGCGGCCAGTGGTGCCAGGGATTGAAGCCCGGCCCCTCCGCTTGCCTAAGCAGGCACTTAGTCTGCTGAGCTAGCTCGCCGGCCCTTGTTTCCCTAGATTTGCTGTAAATTGAAGCAAGCTCTGAAACAAGTATGCCTGAGCTGCTGGCTGCATGTATCCTAGGAGAGCTAGTGACGCAGCTTCACAAGATTATAAACTTTTAGGATTCTTATGTAACTTTAACAGCTTTATTTATTTATTTATTTTTGGTTTTCTGAGATAAGGTCTCCCCATGTAGCCCAGGCTGGCCTCGACCTCTTAGAAATCCTCCTGCCTCAGCCTCCCAGGTGCTGGGGCTGCAGGTGTGCTTCGCCACCCTCCGCCTGGTCAGCAGCGTTTTTTGTAAGTCATTCTCTTTTGGTGTTCTAGTGCAGACTAACCCGGCAACAGCACGCTGATGTGTGAGGGGCACAGGCAGATCAGAAGCCATGTGCAGCAGATGGCGTGCAGGGGCGTGTGGCTCGGAGAGTAAAAGGCAGCAGTCGCCTTCTTTACGGCAGATTTCTCTTTATCCGCCTGGCGATGGGCGTATAGGCTGCTGCCCTGACGTGGCTGCCGTGAACACAGCTGTGCGCGCGGCACTGTAGCGCGCCCCGGGGGGCATGTCTGAGTCAGCTAGCTCTCCTAGCTGGGTGCGCTGTGGTGGAGCGCACCTGTGATCCCAGCACTCGGGAGGCCGGGGCCGGAGCTGAGCTGGAGGCCAGCCTGAGCTACACGGTAGACCACGTCTCAAAAACCAAACAAATAGCATTCCTACTTTCAATTTTTTGAGGGCCTGGGAGATGGCTCAGTAGAATAAGCGTTTGGCTGGCAAGTGCTGAGTTCAATCCCAGTTCTGGGAAAAAAAAAAAAAAAAAAGAGTTTTTTGAGGATGCTTCACAATGATTTTTGAAGTAGTTGTACTAGTACACATTACCATATAGAACAATTCCTTCCCCCACAACCTGGCTAGCATTTGTTATTTTTTGAATCTTTAATGATAGCTATTCTTACTGGAGTAAGGTACAATCTCAGTGTTGTTTTGATTTGCATTTTGCCAATAGTCAGAGCTTGAACATTTTTCTTAGTACACTGGCCATTTGTTTGTTTGTTTGTTTGTTTGGCAGAACCAGGGATTGAACTCAGGCTCTTGCGCTTGCCAGGGAAGCGCTTATTCCACTGAGCCATCTCCCCAGCCCACATTGGCCATTTGTATTTATTTCCTCTAAGTGTTTATTCATTCCAGTTACTCATTCTTTGATTGGGTCTTTTATTATCGGAAGATCTAATTTTTAGATATTAGACTTCTGTCTGAGGAACAGCAGATAAAGGTTTTTTTTTTTTTTTAAAAAAGGGCAAGTGGGCTGGGAAGATGGCTCAGTGAAATAAGTGCGTCCCTGGCAAGCGCAAGGGCCTGAGTTCAATCCCCAGTTCTACCAAAAAAAAAGGAGTAAGAGGATGCTAACACAAGTTTAAAAAGGGGGCAAGGGGTACAGCTGTAGCTCAGTGTAAAGTCATGGGTTCAGTCCTGAGTACTATATTGCCCTCCCCCCCCAAAAGAACCCCCCAAAACATAAACCTAAAAGGAATTAAATAACCTTGAAGGGGAGAATACAGCATGTAGGGACAGAACTATAACCAAGACTTCTTTTGACTTTACATATTAGTAAGAATAAAATTAAAAATCTGTAACGGATTAAAATGCCTGCTTAGGCAGACCCAATGGCCAGGGTTTGATCCTGGCATGGTGTGCTGGCCCCGGTGCGCTGAGACAGCCATTGAGACCATGTGGTGATGTGGCGCTCCTGTAGTCCCAGCTCTCGGGAGGCTGAACACAGGCAGAGGATCGCTGCAGATCCGATCTGCGTCGTGAAACTCTGTAGACCCTGTACTAAATACAAAAACAAAAAACTCTATCACTTGAAAAAGAAACAAATATAGTAAGCAAATGAAATAATAAAACAATTGTTGGATATTTAGCCAAGGTATTATGACTGAATATCCTTGATGAAATAGATTGTAAGAAAAAATACAACTGCAACCTACAGAAAGGGGGAAAAAGATAAATGTGCTGCTGTATGGTTTGAACTGGTCACCCACCTTGCTGCAGGAGTCTGCCAGGACTGCCGGATGCTACTCCAGGCGTTCCCGTCATCTTGGGCCACTGGCGGTCATACAAGCGGATCGAATCACTCTCATCACTCTGTTACCAATACAGTTAATAAGGAGCCGCCCGATGGGACGTCCGGTCAGGCGTGCACCCTGGCAGCTAGGCTTGCAGCTTATGGCCCTGTCGCTGATGCGGCTCTCAGCCTCTTTCACACAGCTCTCAGGTGGGGCTGTCCCAAGGGTGTTTTCTTCATGCCTTATTCTGTGGAGCGCTAAGTACCCGTAATGGTAATGCTTTCTCCACACTCCCTTGGTTGCTAATTTTTGTGTCCTTCACCCTCTGTACTGCAGAAACCCAGCTCTCTTGAAATAGAGCTCATGAATCTTGTGCTTTTCCCACCCGCTTTTGTTATCTGCTGACTTCCTGTGTACTCTCTTCATTGGTGTATTTGATACTCTGAATATCCCTGGGGAATATAAAGAGGAACTACTTCACAGCCACTCTGACGTATAGAGTTGCTCGGTGTGAAAGGAAAGTATATGTGCACCGAGATGAGAGGAAAATGAAATTGAATCTTACATGCCCTTAATTAAAGGAAGCATGCGGACTGGCGGCTGAAGCACGAGGATCGAGGCCAGCTGGGGTACACAGTTTAAGGCCAGCAGGGACCACCTAGCGAGACCCTGTCGTGGGGGGAGGGCTAACTACAGAAGGTATGCCTGATTAGAGAGGAAATAGGTATCTCTTTCAGAGATTTTTCTCCATACATGGTGTGTACCATTTAGGCCTTGGAAGAAATTGAAATCAAAAACAGCTTTAAGGCCGGCCATGGTGGCACATGCCTATAATCCTAGCACTTAGGAGACTGAGGCAGGAGGATTGTTGTGAATTTGAGACCAACCTGAGCTACAAACTGAGCTCAGGGCCAATCTGAATTTGCATAGGGAGACCCTGTCTCCAGAAGACACAAAAAAAGTGGATGAGTAAATATGTTGTGTCTAAATCCCCTAAGATTTCATTCATTGCAGCTCTGTAGCCTCAGGGACAAATTTAGTTTTTTTTCATTTGGTATAGATAGAAAGGGATGGGTTTATTACTAGGTGGTAGTCACAAGACTGTTGTTAGTCACCTTATAAAACTGGCTTCATAAAGTTATTTTTTCAAGAAAATAATTCCTCAAATAAACCTGTTTTTAATTTTTTTTTAATTAATTAAAAAAAATTAAAACTGTGCAGGCCAGATTGGTGCACGCTGTGATCCCAGCTCTTGGAGAGCTGAGGCAGAAGGATTGTTGTGAATTCAAGGCTAGCCTCACCCGACATAGGGTCTCCCTGTGTAAATTCAAATTGGCCTTGAGCTCACTTTGTAGCTCAGGTTGGTCTCAAATTCACAAATTCAAACCCAGCGTCAACTATACAATGAGACCCTTGTCTCAAAAAAATTGCAGTTTCATTCTTCCCAAAAGAATCCCTGCGTCCCACAGCAGTCGTTTCCTGTTTCCATCTTCTACTGGCCCCTGGCAGCCATTAACCTATTTTCTGTCTCTGTGAATTTGTTTGTTCTATATAATACTTTTCATATGAATGAGAGTGTACATTATGTCATTTTGTATCTGATTTCTTTAACTTGGTTTGCATTTTCAGGTTTCATTTGCATTGTAGTATCTTAACATATTTTTTGTGGCTGAATAATACTTCATTATTTCGATGTGCTAAATGTTGGCTATTATGTATACAGCTGCTGGTTTCTCATGTCTGTATATTTTCATCTCTTACGTGTATGCCTAGGAGTTGAATTGCTGGTCACATGATAAATCTCCACTGAGCTTTTTGAGAAGCTGAGAATTTTTCAGAGTAGCTGCACTAGCTGCACGTGATGGCACACACTGGTAATTCAGGTACTTAGCAGGCTGAGGCAGGATGATCACCAGGAGTTTGAGGCCAGCATAGGCTACATAGTGAGCTCAAGGCCAACCTGTATTATAGTGTGATCCTGTCTCAAAAAAAAAGAACCTTTACCACTTCAGCCCAGCTCCCTCCATTTCTTGATCTGCTTCCCTTTTCATAAAACGCTGTCTTTCTGTGTCCTGAAATTTTTTATTTTGCTCTTCTGCATATTTAGGGTTTCATATAAGAGAAACCATGGGGGCTGGTGAGATGGCTCAGTGGTCTAAAGCACCTACTTAGAACAAGCTTAGCAAAGCACAGGGACCACGGTTCAATCCCCCAGCACCACATGCCAGCCAGCCCCGCCCTCTGGTGGGCTGAGCTGGCCACACACACACAAATAAATAAATAAATAAAATTAAAAAAAAAAAAAGAGAGAGAAACCATGTTCTGTTTAAGCTTGAGTGTTTCACTTAACTGCTGTATTTGGTCTCTAACAAAGGGATCAAAAACATAGTTGGTTTCATACGTGGTGCTGGGGAACCCAGCTACCCACATGCAGGAGGTTGAATCCAGGTCCTTGGCTTTCACCATGTTCAAAACCAAAATCAAAACGAACCAGAGATCTGACTATTAAAACAAATATGTTCTCTGCTGGAATATGTAAAACTCATGATGTCATACGTGTAAGAAGAGACTTTCTGAACAGAGTCCTGGTGGTGTAAGAAATAGTATGAAGAATCGACAGATGGGATCACAGCAAATTAAAAAGCTTCTGGTCGTGAATTTTTGGTCCCTGGCCTAAGTGTGATGCCTAGGATGGTGGAATGGGCTTAGAGCACTGGTGAGGGCAAAGCTTCAGAGCCCTCAGGGAGAGTGAGTGCCAGCCGAGGCGTGGCTGCCAGGGGCTTGCCACCCGTGAGCTGGAGGCGGGCTCAGATCAGTGTGTTGGGAACTACCAGTGTGGAGAGTGAAGACTGGCGTCACAGAGTAAGGCGGATGTTGTGAACCCGAGATGGCAGTCCTTGCGGAGGAGGTACACGTCTCGCAGGTGCCTGGAAGGCTCTTGGAAAAGGGAAGCACATTTTTCATGTTGGTACTGGGATCCCCACACCAAAGAGGCTGTGGTGTGGAGGCTGCGGCTCAGTGGGCCTGGAAAGGATGGGCGTGGGGGTGTAAGCCTGCCTGGTGCACTGTTCTGGCCTCTTTGTGCTGAAAGATGACAGGCTGGGGAGGGAGAGAGCAGGGGAAGAGCAACTGCTTACGGTTCACCTGCTCTGGCCTTCTGCATCTGTGTCTAGACCATTGATTTACCACCAAAAACACACTCCATGTCTCAGCTGTCTTACCATCACGTCTGGTCCTGTTTCAGGAGAGAAGCCTCATCAGTGCCAGGTGTGTGGGAAGACCTTCTCGCAGAGCGGAAGCAGGAATGTGCACGTGAAAAAGCACCACCTGCAGCTGGGAGCAGCTGGGAGGCAGGAGCAGGAGCAGACCGGTGAGGGGGGGCGGGCGCAGCATCTCTCTGGGTTCCAAGAGCCTAGTCACTGACCTCCTGGCCCGCTCGTGATCTTCTGATTCAGTTTTGGGTGGAGAGACCTGGTCTCACCTGCTGGGCTGCCAGCTTCCAAAGCAGTGGGGTTTTTGTTTGTTTTGGTTTGATTTGGTCTGGTTTTTTGGTTTTGGAGACGGACTCTCTTCGTGTAGCTCAGGCTGCCCTTGAATCTGCAGTGATCCTTCTGCCTCCACCTCCCAGACCCTGGGATTACAGGCGTGCACACAAATACGCGTTTCCTTGCTTGTCATCCACTCCCCACCTGTACAAAACAAAATAACCTGGTAAATAATTTGTGAGTTTCCAGAATCTGTTGTTTCAAAAGTTCCCATAGGGGCTGGGTATAGCTCATTGGTAGAGTACTTGCCTAGCATGCTTATGGTTCTGGGTACAATCCCCAACACTGCAAAGAATAAATAAATGAGCTCCCGTGTGCCACTAGCACACACTCGTAGATCCCACACACCTGGGATACCAGGGGAGGAGGCTCAGTTGAATCCAGGACTAGCCTGGGTAACATGGTGAGGCTTCGTCCCAAAAACAAAGCAACAAAAGTTCACCTAGTGAGTTTGATAATTATTAATGCTTGTTCATAAACCAGCGTTCATCTACCATGGTAGTAAAAAGATTTCTATATGACAAGAGTTTATGTATTTTTTTTGCTTATCAGTTTTGACTATGTTTTGCCTCACCTTAAATTTGATAACCCTTTTTGTTGTTGTCTTTAAGACAGGATCTCGCTATGCAGCTCCGACTGCATAGCCTTGAGCCTTGAGCTTACTTTATAGCTCAGGCTTGAGCTTACTTTATAGCTCAGGCTGGTCCTGGGCTGGGATTACAGATGTGCGCCACTAGGCTGCGCTTGATAACCTTTTTTTTTTTTTTTTTTCTTTTTTTAGTACAGGGTCTCACTACATGGATCGGACTCGTAGTGATCCTCCTGTTTTTAGCTTCCCAAGCCCTGGGATTACAGGCATGCACTACCACACCCAGTCTCAGTCCTGTCTCAGCAAGCCCTGGAGGCAGGACTGGCACGGCACACTGGGGATTGAACCCTGGTCCCTGTGTCAGCCTAAGCAGGTGCTTTAATCCCCTGAGTTATCTGGCTGGCCCTTTTGATAATCCTTTTCTGTTCTTACTCCTTTTCCAAATATTTCTTCAATCAGTTATTTCATTCTAAATACTGCTAAAGATCATCCATCCTATTTCATATGCTAATGTTTATGTTAATCACAAAGATGATTATCCAGAGCCAGCCAAATAGCTCAGTGGATTAAAACACCTGCAAGCAGGTGCAGGGGCCAGGGGTTCAATCCCTGGGTCTGGTGTGGTGGGGCACCTGTAATCCCAGCACTTAGGAGGCTTTAAACAGGAGAATCACTATGAGTCTGATCTAGTAGTGAGACCCTGAACACCCTGTAGACCCTTCCCTAAAATACAGAGAAAAAAAAGATGATTATCCCTAAACCTCAAGCCTTCTTCTAGGTTTGTTGTTGTTTCCTGGAAGTAGGTGACATAGGTAACATCGGAGATGCACCTTAATTTCTAGTTTGGGAAGGGAAGGCCAGCTGTCCTGGTCAGGAAGGTGAGGGCCGGGCACGGCCTTGGTTACTCACACTCTCTTCTCTGGGCAGCTGAGCCACTCCTGGGCAGCGGTTTGCTTGAAGAGGCTTCAGTACCCAGTAAAAGCCTGGTATCCATGGATGCCCGGCCCAGCCTCGGTGGAGAGTCCTTGAACCTGCCAAACACCAGTTCCATCCTGGGAGTCGCTGATGGTAAGACTTCACATTCTCCTCGGGAGAAACGGGCTGCAAGTAGGGACTAAAGAATGGGGTGTCTGCAAAACGGAGGTTTTGAATTGTATTTCTTGTGTGTAGCTGCGGTATGATTGAGTAGCATTTGTGTTCCTGTGTCCTTGGTGGTTAAATGAGTGTGTTTTAAAAATTAATTGACGATGATATAACAGAAGAATAAAAAGAAAAAACTTAAAAGAGAAAATTATTTGTAATCTTAGCATCCTAGCCCAACTATTTCTGTCTTTCCTATTGCAGTTATGGAAGAACTTAACTTTTAAAACATTTAAACAGAACATAACCAGGTTTTACAGAGGAGATATAAAGCAATTTCTCCATACCTTCAAAAGCCATATCTTCTGGAGAAAAGAAAGGGCCCTCTAGGAGTTGCTCCTCTCTGGTATAGAAATTTCACCCAAGTTACACAGGCCAGGCCCTCTTCTCTGAAAAACTTACCAGGTGAGGTCAGCATGCATTTATTGAGTGCCTACTGTGTGCCTGACACAATGGGAAAGGCAAAAGTAGGAGAAAAGGCCCTTAAAATCCAGTTGAGAGGTCAAAATTTTCCTGTGTGCAAAATAATATTGAGTAGCACGTTAACAAACACTTGGTACAGTATGGAAGAGCAGTAGAAGCCACAGAGCCCCTATGTGAAGCTTGTAGTTTGTTTGACGGCTGAGTGGTTTTCCCAGGAGCTAGTTCCAGAAGTCTCTCATGGTGACCCCACTGGTGAACGCTCAGCGAGTGGGAGGTCCTGCGTGTTGTGTGCAGCCTGCTCCGTCAGGGCGTGGCCATACTTACGTAACTTCTGCCTAGCGCCTGCAAGGCCTGGAGTGTGCGGCAGGCTTTCAGGCAGGACTGCAGCCTCGTGACTAGGGCAAGAGGCCCAGAAACTGCCTGGTCCTGCTTTCCGGGTCTTCAAGAGGGAAGTCCCAGGGGAGGAGGTGGGCTTGGGAAACCTTGGCCAGGTTGTCAAAGGGCATACATTGAGCCCTTCGCACCGCCCGTGATTGCTTCAGGGCTGGCTCTGGCTCCTTGACGTGCCTGCCTGAGCTGTTTTAGCCCTGTTTCATACATTTTTAATCCAGATAACAGTGCTAAAGCCATTATTCTAAATCACTATATTGAAAAATGGAGAACTCCTATATCAAGATTTCTTGCTTTTCCTTTCCATTTTGTTTCTGTAATCATTTCCAAATCTCTGGTAATGATTGGCAGGCATGATTAACTTGAAAGAAATACAGAAATTTGGGACTCAATTTTTCAGGGATTAGTTACTAGGTTTTATTGAGAGGCTTGATGTGGCAGAAGTGTATCTATGTATTCACTTTTCATGGAAGATGAATTCTTCTGTTGTTTCGCAGAGGTGCTTACTGAAGGATCCCCACGTCCCCTGTCTTCAGTGCCTGATGTAACCCATCACTTGGTGACCATGCAGTCAGGGAGGCAGTGCTATGAGGTTTCTGTCCTAACAGCGGTAAACCCACAGGAGGTAAAGCGGTCTCTTGCCCTTACTTTGTTTCTGTGCCCACTTATGTGGCAGTTGCCGGAGACTCTGGAGCAGTGGTGCAGGCCGCCTGCTGTGTCGCGGGGCCACCACCATCGGTCTAGACGAGACCGGGCGCATTCAGCCAAAGCACCACTCATCTAGAGATCTGAAAATTTCTCCACTTTCCATGTCTTAAAAATTTTGACTAGAATATCTTCCTTTAAGCTCAGTACGAATCCATCTTCAAAGGAGCCTGGGTGTTACAGTCTGACCCTGCGAGTCGGGAAATGAGTGTGTCACACCTGAGATTCTCAGATTGGCACCCTTTGTACCATCCTTAGTGAGGACTGTCTGTCCCAGTGTTCAGCATGAAGATGCTGACCTTACTTTATAAAGAAAACAACACTGCTAAGTGGTCTTGCACGCCTGTGATCTCAGAATTTGGGGGGGCTGAGACAGGAGGATCACAAGATTGAGGCCAGCCTGGAACAAAATGGTTCTTGAGCAAAAACAGATTCATGACAAAATAATTAAAAATAATTATTCACTCTCCTGGCGCATGTGTCTGGAAGATAACAGGCCAGTTTAGCTGGGCCAGAGGAATGAGTTCACACTTCCTCGTTGAATGGAGACCAGCCAAGTTAACAAAGGACTTCGGGTGGACTCAAGGACTTCTGAGGCTATGGTTTTGATCTTGGCTCTCAGCAAACAGTGAAAACAGATCAAGTTTCTAGAATTTTAGAATATCTCCTTGGTTTTGTTTCATGGACATGTATAACTTCACCATGACTTCATTTCACATGCGTTAAAGCTGCCACCAAAAGCTGTATAGCCTCGACCCCTTGGCTGTGGTGTGGGGGATGAGGGTGGGGTGGGCTTTTTAAACCAAAAAAACCTTTCCTTCCTCTTCCATTGTAATCTTTATGTTTATCTGTCACATCAGTCACATGACTGCACCCTACATTGAATCCTCAGTTATTTTGCACTCTCCCTGAGGTTGCCCAGGATCACAGGGCTCTGGTCATGCACACCTGTGCCCTGCCAGGATCTCTCTTTGTATTTATTCTGGGACCCATTGTTGTCTAAGCCTTCTTCAGATTGTGCTAAATATTTTGCTGTTGGTATCATTGGTTCCATTCTATGTGACCTTTTCCAAGTTACTATTCTGAAACAAATCATCTGTCTCACCTATGGAGTCTTATTTCTGAGATTTATATTAGGGAAGTTTTCAGAGAATAGTGAGTGATGAGATAACAGGATTATGAATCATGTACCTGTTACCCAAGTTCAGTAATTAACTTTATAATGTTCAGATTTTATTTTCTGCCTTTTATTTATTTTTATTTATTTAGTACAAGGTCTACAGGGTTTCACTACATAGATCAGACTCATAGTAATCCTCCTGTTTTCAGCCTCTCAGGTGCTGGGATTATAGGCGCGCACCACCACGCCCCGCTCACCCCGGGGGCCTCCATGGCTTGCTGTGCTGGGGATCAAACCCAGGTCCCTGCACTTTGCCTAAGCAGGTGCTTTAGTCCACTGAGCTATCTGGCCAGCTCTATTTTCTGCCTTTTAATTGTTGCTGTTAGGTTTGTGGTTGGAGTATGTTAAAGCAAATTGGAAATTTTTAGATTTTTACCGTTTAACAGGTAAAAATTCTTAGTTAGCTGGGTGTGGTGGTACAGGCCTGTAATCCCAGCACATTGGAGCTGAGGCTGTGCTGTTGATGTCCTGAATCCATTCAGAGTGTTTACTCTTCATGGTCATTTGGACTAGAAGGAAGAGCCAGGCAGGAGCCAAGTGCTGCATCCACCCTCTGAATACAGATTTCGAGCACACATTGCAGTGCTTTCCGAGCCTGCCTGTCCCCTAGATGGCACTTGGCAACAGTTGTCACCACGCTTTTTATCACACTTCCTGACACTCAGGAAGGAGAACTTCCAGAACTGCTTCAGAAAGTGATCAGAGCAGTGGGATAAGTGTGTAGGAAGAGAGTGTTTTGGAGGGGGTTCATGGCATCTTTTACTGCAATTTTAAACATTTAAACACTGACTGTAGGGGCTGGAGAGATGGCTCAGTGGTCTAAAGCACCTACCTGAAACAAGCTTGGCAAAGCACAGGGACCGCGGTTCAATCCCCCAGCACCACATGCCAGCCAGCCCCGCCCCCTGGTGGGCTGAGCTGGACACACACACATACAATAAATAAATGTAATAAATAAAAATAAATAAATAATTTTAAAAAAATAAAAATAAAAAATAAACACTGACTGTATATTCTGATCCTCACCCTCCTTTTAATCCTTTTACTTCGTATGAAGGTTTTTCTGTAATTCAGTTGTAACCCATTCTACATTTGTTTTCAATCTTCTACAGTTACTAAATCAAGGAGATTTAACTGAAAGACGGACATGAGCTGGGGTGCTGCCTTCGAAGGAGCAGCTCTGTCTGATTCCAGAGCGCACAGTGGGTGCAGGACCAAGCCCTCAGCCCCGCCGGAACCAAAATAAATCTGTGAAGGACGAAACCCCGCTTTTGCCTCTTCACTTACTTCCCTGGCAGAGACCATGAGTGTGCGAGAGCTGCTCCACAGCCACCCCGTGATCCCGACAAGAAGCACAGCAGAGGCTGGGCCGGGTCACTGCCTGCCTCTTCTCGCTGCGGAATTCTGGGACAGACTTCTCCCAGAGGCAGATTGGGTTATGTGCTGGCTGATGTCCTCATGACGACTGTGGAAGGGAGGTTTTCCTTCGAGGTTTCGTCCCAGACCCAGCTCTTTTCACGTGGATGGTCAGCATCCTGCTGTCAACCACTAAACTCCTTGCGTTTTCAAGAGGCCTTGTTGCTTTGAAGAAGGGAGCAGTGTCCGTTCTGTCATGGTGTTCTCCCTTCGGCAACCTGAGTAAGAGACTCTCAGCCATCGGGCTGCACAAAGGAATTACTTGAATCGCCCCTTGGCCCACGCTGAGGTTCTGTCTTGTCCTGTCCACCTCTGCCCCGTCACTTTGCTTTCCTTGTTGACGGAACACACAGTAGCATGTTAAGAGGGTTTTTGTTTTTCAAGTCTTTTTTTTTTTTTTTTTTTTTAAGTTAAAAATCACTGATACAAAGCTTCAGTTTTCCCTTAAAATAAACAAAACAGCCCAATGAGTTGCTTGGCCTTTGTTTTGCATATAACATAGTTCCCTTAAAAGGAGATTAAGAAAATAATTCCGTCTTTCACTTTAAGATGGGGCCATAATTCACCCTTAAGATCCCATGTAGCTAAAACTGATGGAGCCTAAGAAACGTGATATGAGAGTCTCCATCAGCCTGTGAACACAAGGCTCTCTTAGAAACTTTCTCTGTCTAGGAACATGGCAGGCGTAACAGCTCATTTTGATGTTTCCAGAAAAACTGAAATGTGAGGGCTGGTGAGACGGCTCAGTGGTCTAAAGCACCTACTTAGAACAAGCTTAGCAAAGCACAGGGACCGCAGTTCAATCCCCCAGCACCACATGCCAGCCAGCCCGCCCCCTGGTGGGCTGAGCTGGCCACACACACACACACACACACACACACAAAAAAAAAAAAAAAAAAAAAAAGAAATGTGAGAGTTCAGCACAAGTACCCTTGCTTTCAACCTGTCCACAGCAACTGAGAGAAAATAGTTGTAGACACAGGAAAATACTCCAAAGACCACCTACAAAGAAAAGTCATGGCTGTCGGAGAAGTTTTAAATTAGAAACAATCTCTTCTATGCTAGCAGACACATACAGAGTAGCACATCCTAAACAGATAACAGAAAAAACATTTAAATAATGGCTCTTAATTTATTAATGGTACACACAGTCACCCTAAACTGTGGCAACTCAGCTCATGGTGGGTACTTGTCAGGAACTGAACTTAGGACTTCGTGCTTGCCAGACAGAGGCGACACCTCGGAGCCACACCCATGGCCCATCAAACACTTGTACTAGAACGTGAGGTGTTCTGCAGGTGTGACAGCACACGCTTACAAGCGCAGCACAGGAGGCCGAGGCAGGAGGGCTCGTAAGTTAAAGGCTAGCCTACGTGCAAGACCTTGTTTCAAAAAAATTAAATAACATGCTAGGTTTTGGATTCCGTAGTCATTGTGATCCGGGAACACTTGTTCTTACCTGGGAACATTCTTACCTGGTGACATTCTTGGTTGTCACAACCAAGAGTGGGGAGCTACTGCATTAGTGCGGAGAAGCAGCAGTACTGCAAAGCTTCCCGTAGTACGCAGGGCAGCTTTTTCCTACCAACAAAAATGTTACTTGCCCAGACTAGCCGTTGCTGAGGATGAGAAAGCCCGTGGCAGTGGCCAGGGAGGTAGCTCAGCGGCATAAGAGCCGGCCTGGCAAGCAGAAGGTCCTGAATTCAGTCCCTGGCACAAAAACCCCAAGAACTTGTGGTGGAAGCATGCAGCTTTGTCGTCTCCTGTGGGCCGCACTGACAGCGTGTCTCGTTTCACCTGCGTAACCCTAAGTACGGCGGCCGAAGCCAGAGCTTTCATACTGAGCTACGCCCCCAGCCCTGACTTACTGAGACAAGATCTTGCTGTACTGTCCAGGTTGATCTCGAACTGAAGATCCTCCTGCCTCAGCCACCCCAAGTGCTGAGATTACAGGCATGCATCACACCAAAACCATATTAGTAATTTTTACTTAATTATCTTGTCTGAGATAGGGTTTTGCTCTGCAGTTTAGGCTGACCTTTAGCTCACTTTGTATCCCAGGCTGGCCTCAAACTCGGCAGTCCTCCTGTCTCAGCCTCTCAAGTAGTGGGATTACAGTTGCGCACTACCACGCCTGGCTTAAATAATTCTTAATTAGTTGCTAACATGCAAATTTCTGGTTTCAGATGAAAATAGTTGACCCGGCAGTTCTGGGCCTGTTTTCCAGTAGGTCTTATGCTCATTAGTTATTAACTCCTGCTATCCTACATCTATCGGTTTGATTGATGAATCCCAGCAGGCATCTGGGCTTGTGAATCACCACCCCCTTTTTTTGTGTTTTTTTTTTTTTTTTTTAAATATTTATTTACTTATTTAGTGTGTGTGGCCAGCTCAGCCCACCAGGGGGCGGGGCCGGCTGGCATGTGGTGCTGGGGGATTGAACCGTGGTCCCTGTGCTTTGCTTAGCTTAGCTTGTTCTAAGTAGGTGCTTTAGACCACCGAGCCATCTCACCAGCCCACCACAGTGGTTTTTTGAGACCGGGTCAGGCTAGCCTTGAACTTGCAGTAATCCTCCTGCCTCTGCCTCCCAAGTGCTGGGGTTACAGGCACAAGCCTGCATGAAGAAACATCTTTTGGACTCGTGTGCCTGGCCAATAGAAATTAAAAACTTTAGCCAGGGGTGGTGGTACATGCCTAGATGAGGCATGATCAAAATATACAGTGAATATACCAAAAAGTTATGGGGTTTTTTGTCTTTTTTTTTTTTGGTGGAACTGGGGATTGAACTCAGGTCCTTGGTGCTTGCCAGGGAAGCGCTTATTCCACTGAGCCATCTCCCCAGCCCCAGTTTGTCTTTTTGAGACAGGGTGTCATTGTGCAGTTCAGACTGGCCTTGAGCTCACTTTGTAGCCCAGGCTGGTCTTAAACTCGCAGTGACCCTCCTGCTCGAGCCTCCCAAGTGCTTAGGCAAGTGCCACCATGCCCAGCCTAGAAATTCTTAAATTACAGAAAAGATTGTCGGTAAACTCCTTGAGGGCCAGGGATGTAGCTCAGTGGCTCAGCGCTGCTAGCAAACACCAAAAAAAGAAAATAATCAAAACAAAACAAACAAACTCTCTTTTGCTTCAGACATACTTGTGCCATCATTCCTAGCAATTTCTGAAGAGCTGACTTCATGAGGATTACTCAGACATGATAAAAAATACAGTGAATGCACCTGCAGGTTGACATCCACTAGGAAGGCAGGTTCATAAAAATGAGTGTAGCCGGGAGTGGTGGCGCATGCCTGTGATGCCGGCACTCAGGAGGCTGAGGCAGGAGGATCCCTGAAGAGTTCAAGGTCAGGCTGGGCTCCATAGTGAGTTACTTGGGACTAGGGAGGGCTCTAAAGGGCAATATTCCCTTATATTTACTTTCAAGTGTCAGGGGGAAAGCAGGAGTTTCACCTGTGAACTATGACCCTCTACCCCGTGTTGGCCCACTTCAATTTGCTCCAATCACCTCTCTCTGTTACTCTTCCCCGTTCTCTAACCGCAGCCATGACGCGATCCAAGGGTTTGCCTCCGCTCTTAGCTGCATGATGTTCAGAAGGGCGAGGCTTGAGACTGTCTGGTGATTCACAAGACAGCATCTCCAAGTCTTTCTCAGGGCTTGTCAGCTGCTCCAGGAATTCTTCTGAATCTTGCTGTTGGTCCCTCGTGTCAAATTTTACGGTTTCATTGGTACTGCAAAGGCATAATAGAAAAGAGTAAGGAAAGCACTATGTAAGGTTGAAGAATGCTTTCAACATTTTTGTTCTTTTATTTGGGTATACAGAGGTATTTCTGAGGGAAAAACAGACAAGAATAGGAAGATACTGAGAAGAATGGAGACCTTGTGCTTCTCTCTGACTGAGACAATATACTTGGGTTACAGAGGAGGTGTTACTAATGAGTTACCTTTAAGGAGTGCCAGAACAAGTTTCATCATTTTACAAGCAGTCAAATTATACTTGCTTTTTGGCCAAATGTGGTGGCACACACCTGCCTTGGGAGGCTGACGCAGGAGGCTCACTGCGAGTTCAGGGCCACGCTGGGCTACAAAGTGAGTTCAAGGCCAGCCTGAGCTGCATATTGTGACCCTTTTTATTTTCGATGCAAGATTTTGCTACCCATTTCAGACGCATAGTGATCCTCCTGTCTCAGCCTCTCCAGAGCTGGGATTACAGGTACGCGCCACCACCGCATTTCCTGGGCTGCACGGCATGTGGTACTGGGGATAAAACTCGGGTCCTTGCCTTGCCAGGCAGCACGTAGAGCAATAATCTATCTCCCCAGCCCCAAGCCCCTGTCTCATGGGGCCAGAGATAGAGCTCAGCAGCGCAGCATGTGCCTAGCAAGTGTGAGGTCCTGAGCTTAATTTCAGAAATAAAGTAGAAATATGTCTGTTCATGGCATTAGAACTAGAATTAGAAAGCAGTGTTTCAAAGAACTGTTAGATTTTCGTCATCGCTGTACTAGTCTACATCCAGCTGTGCGGCAGACCGCTGGCTGGGTGTCACTTTGGTACAGGACTGTGATGGAGAAGTGTGCACAGCTCTTGCGAACTTTTCTCCCAGAGACCGTGCCTGGCGTAACAAGGAGCTCAGGCCCGCAGAGCAGCTCAGGTACCTGGGCACATCCTTCCGCGGCCCAGCACCGGTGCCTTGGCCCTTCTTCCTCACAAAGTCCTCCTGCAGCCCGGCCTGCCGCAGCGCAGCTCCGTACCGCTGCTCCACTTCTTTCCGGGCAAGGTCCTGCAGAACAAAACTTAATCTGCTGTAGCTGCCTCCCGAATTACCAGATGCTCAATTAGTTTCCTTATAATCCTGCTCCTAGCCTCACCCTTAGTGCTGGGCCCAAGTTGGCAGACAACTTTCCTAGAGCTTTTTGTCTTCAAGTCTTAGTTTGCAAGCTCCCCAAGGATCTCGCTAAAACGCAGAGTCAGGTCTGGTCCAGCTTCTTGTACTGTGCTCTGCTCACCTTGTACACGTTCTTCCTACTTTTATTTGGCCCACACTCGCTCTAGAGCACATTTCCTACCATTGGTAAAGGTAACAGCTTGCCACCTTTAAAAAAAAAATGCGTTGCCTGGCAAGGGCCCGAGTTCAATCCCCCGTTCCGCCAAAAAGAAAGAAAATGCAGGGCTTCTTCGTGCTGCGTGGGGCTCAGATGTGGCCTGCAATTCTATTATTCTAGTATTTCCAGCACTACCAGGAGATGCCAGCTGGTAATTTGGGAGCAGTAAAAAAAAAAAAAATATCCTTCCCCCCAAGTTAGCTGGGCATAGGCACACTCAGCTGAAGCTACTCAGGACATTGAGGCAGGAGATGGCAAGTGTGAGGTGGCCTGGGTAACTCCGTGAGACCCTGGAAAAGGGGGAGACTGGAGAGTAGGTCAGTGGCAGAGCGCTTGAAAGCTGCCAGGTGTCGTACCCCAGCAGTCTCGGTGCTCAGGGGCTGAGGCAGGATGGCTGCACACCCAAGGCCAGCCTGCACCGCATGGCAGTGCTCAGGCCCAAAACCAAATAGAAATACATAAGGAAATAAATAAATGAAATTTAAATGCGAACAATCATGATGACTAAAAAATTAACAGAAAGCTTACTCAGACACTTAACAAAATAAATATTTAAGAGCAAAAATCATGGCATGCTTTGTATCTTTCCTAGCGGTGGAAGGCCTCTTGGGATCTGAAGACCACACTTGCTGCTTTCAAGGTCATATCTAAGGGCAGAAGGCCAGGACGGGAGGTTTTCTATTTGTCCGGGTAGTGGGCACTGAACCCAGGGATGCTGAGCTGGGTGCCCAGCCCCTGTCATCCTTATTTTGAGATGGGGTCTTTCTGAGTTGCCCACTGCCTCCCAAGTAGCTTGGGTTCCAGGCATCTGTACCACACCTGGGCAGCAGGAGAGGTGCTAAGTAGATCTAAGGCTGCCCAGCCTGTGTGTACATAGGGTTATGGGAGTGGGGCTGGATTTGACCAGCACATGCCCACATTAAGCTCTAGCTGGGAATGAGCTAAGGCCCAGCAATTAGAGCCAGTCCCTAGGGAACCCCAAGTTCTGTTTGAAACTCAAGAGTAAATGGAGGGGCTGGTGAGATGGCTCAGTGGTCTAAAGCACCTACTTAGAACAAGCTTAGCAAAGCACAGGGACCACGGTTCGATCCTCCAGCACCACATGCCAGCCAGCCCCACCCCTGGTGGGCTGAGCTGGCCACACACACACACACACACACACACACACAAATAAATAAATAAATAAAAGAGTAAATGGAGCCACAGAACCTGATGCAGCCCAAAATGATTGGGACAGTAGCTTTTCTGGGCCACGCAGGTAGCTCTACGGCTTCCTTAGGGAGGACACCCAGGGACTCGCTATCCCTTACAGTATCGTCACCAGTCTGCCTGAAGCCACCTCATTGGGAAAGAGCTTCGTGGGGTACATGTGTGTACCCGAGCCCTTGAAGAGCTATATTTAGGGAAACATGATAGGAATAAAGACTTAGAATGTCTGAGTTATGGAAATGTTTAACACTCACATTGAAATTGTTTCATAATCTTGGGAGCCCTTTCATGCAAGGCAGAAAGAAATGACAGTGAAGTTTTACCTTGGGAACTTGCTCAAAGAGATAGGGCCTTGTTTGTATTCTCTTGTTCATTTCTTCTAGTTCTTTCTTATATTCTTTTGCTCTTTTTCGGTCATTGTTCCTGGAATTAACAAGATTTCTAGAAAGATTTTCATCTTTTCTAATCTAGAACACCATCCATTCCAGTTAAGCAGAGTAACCAAAGTACATTGTAAATTCCTAACTTCCTGGCAAAATCCTTGAGTCCTGTGATCACAGACGCCAACACGAGAACTCCAGCTTGCCATTTTTCTTTCAGTCTTCCTGGAACCCAAGACAGCCCTTGCACACATGCATGAGACACCTACCGGTGTTCTCTCAGCTTGGCCCTGAACACCTCCTCGAGGCTTTGGTGGGGGTCCGCAGCTTTTGCACGCAGGGCCACAGACTTGGACAGTGCGTGGCGCTTCTTTCTCTGCATCTCTAACCACCGAATACTCTCCTCAGCCTTCTCCTTTTTCTCAAGTGAACTTCTAAAGGGGGACAGCAAGAACAAGGGCACATGTCCTGGGTGTGTTTGCGAGTGACTTTAATCATCTCTCTGGAAGTATGAAAGAATTTACCAATGTGGGCATGTGAAAAAGAACATTTTGGGACTCAGTCCACTGGCAGATGGAGCCTCTTCACTGCTGTGAGCCCGGAGATTTCCTACCCCAGGAAAAATTCATTAACTGAGGTGGGTAACATATGAGCTAAAATATGCTTAAACAGCTAAATATTTATCAGATTTGCTGGGCTTGCACCATGCGCTACTCACTCTGTTTCCTGCAAACCACCTATGTGCCATATGAGGTGAACAGGGAAAACCTCCTCCCACCCAGGAAGAGACAGCGGCTCAGAGAGGGTGAGCCACTTGTCCAGAGTGACCTAGTATGCCAACTGAAAAGCCAGGCTTGGAGCTAGAACTTCTGACTCGCAAGCCGCTGTCCCCATTCCTCAATCAGCAGGCTAGAAGACACTTGGGTTCAGGCTTCCTTGGAAATACAAATTCACATTTAAAAAATAAATAAATAATATGCTTCCCCAGCAAGCGCAAGGGCATGAGTTCCATCCCCGGTTCTGCAAAAAAAAAAAAAAAAAAAACTAGAAATGGGCCTCCTTCAGTATAGACAATTTGGAATCAATCTGAAGCACTGACTTTTTGACTTACTCTATTCAAGGTGTTCTGTGGAAACACAAGCAGGATGTCGTGTATGGATACGCATGTGCTCAGGGGACAAGGAGAACAAGCAGCAGAGTTCACTGTGCTGAGCTGGAAAGCAGATGTGGTGAGCTCCACAGGCCTCTCCACCAGGCTGATGTTATGGGGCCTCTGCAGACTGACGCTTTCAGGCCTGGTCAGTAACTCTGTGAGACTCACAGATTCTAAATCCACTGGGAGCACTAAGAGGTACTAGGTCGCCAGACTTCCCTGGGGCTCAGCTGCTCACTGCATGGTGACACCCCTACACACACACACACACACACACACACACACACACACACACGCCTCAGGTCTTGTGCTCAGGCAGCATATGCTCAGTGTTTACTGGCTTGTCCATATTCCAGGCACTTTGAAGTTGTCTTCATTGCGCCCTGCACACAGCGAGTCCCCATATTTGCTAGATGACGGTTCAGTGCTGGCCACACCAGACAGCCCTGGTCACAGAACCCCTTGGCCCCAGATCAGGGCACCGCGAGGCCGACCACTCACCTGACTGCAGATGCCCTCCTCCTGGTGGCGTCTGTGATGTGCACAGGAAGGGTGTTGACAGAAAGCGAGGCAAGGCCACTCAGAGAACGGCTCCCAGGCAGCGGGGTAGCAGGGGGCTGTAGGGAACCCTACAAGAAAGGAAGTCCGGTATTGGCGCCAGCGCCTGTGGTCCTGGGTTTTGTCTGCAAGAGGCTGCACTGTCAGTGAAAGAGTCAAAACAAGAATCTTCTTCCTGGGAACACCGCAGGGACAGCGGGAGGGGGCACGGCGGGGACAGCGGGACATCAGGGTTAGAAGCCAGGCCAAGGTGTAGACATATGCTAAAGTTGCGATCAGACGAGAGCGCTTCAGAAGTGCTACCAGGGTACTAGCACTTGATCCCAATTCTCAGCCTCCCAAGCCTGCCTGGACTTACTTCTGTCAACCCCTCGGAAAGAGAGGGACAGAAGGCAGTCCTCCTGTGTGGGTGTGTTTATCCCTGAGGTGATGTTCTGTTGTTGTTTCGCTTAGTGAAGATGAGGCTGGCAGGAGAAGTACTTCTGGGACATCTGGCCCACGCTGCATGTCAGGCCCCAGGCCCCAGCCCTCCCGCTACGACCTGGGCTCTCTCACCAGCCTCCCTCCAGTGTCCCCGGTGTCACAGGGCCTCGGAGGGTGCCGGCACAGGCTGGCAGTCCTCAGCAAGAAAGGCTTGTTGCGAGTCGCCTCTCGGGTTTCCCTTCCCCTGGCAGCTCTCTGCTGGAAAGCCCTGTGGAGGGCCTCGTGGTCAGGGACGACAGCATTCACCCGAGGCTGGAATCCAAAGTCGGTCTGCAGGAAGCCAAGCTTCCTCTCCTGAGTGCGGGCGGCCGTGCGCGGCTGTGAGTCAGGCCGGCTGCTAGAGGAAGCAAGAGGAGAGGAGGCCTTGCCGAGCGTGTCTAGGGCCCGCATCTGGATGCGAATTTTCCTGAAGAGCTCAGCTTCTGTGGAGAAAGAGTCAGAGCGCTGATGGGTGAGAGGCTCCAAACCTCACACCAAAGGGTCTGGTCACCTGCCCACCCGGTGGACTAGCAGTAGTGAGCTGAAGCCAGCCGCTAACTTCCTGGGAATTTGGTCAGCCTGCTGACACCATAGGGGAAGTCTGCAGCTAACAACAATGCGTGTGAAGATGGCAGACGTGACAAAGCAGCTTGCCGTGGTTCTTTGCCACAGCGCTCACGACTACACGTCGCCCAGGACTCCGCGGCTGGAGCAATGGGCTGAGGCAGCACTTTCTGAGGCCCTTGTTCAGGGTGGAGTGGAAGGAAGCTGGCCAGCCACCTGCCCCTCCTGGGTGCCTTGCTCTCCGAGAAGAGCCCCGGGGCCCAAACCGTTCCTCAAGTCTCTCCCTCTCCTCAGTCACTGCTTCTCCACTTCCGCCTCTTGAACTGCTTTTCACTGTCCCTGAGCTTCACAGCCGCTCCACTCCTATCATGTCCCCTGACACAAGACCCTGCTTGGTGGCTTCTGCGTCAGGCGGTAGGCAAGGCAGGTTGCTTGGGGCTGGCACTGCTGATCTCTACCTTTCATGCCTGAGTACGTTCTGGCTCGATCTTATTTAGGGGAAAGAAGGTAACAGAGCAACCTCCATCTAGTCTTCCCACCTCTTGCTATCCCTGCCACTGTCACAGCGACTGGAAGCTGGTCACGACACCCTACCCAAAGCCTGCCAGGGGCTGTCCAGTGCCCTCCGGACAAAGTCCACACTTCTGAGGTGGCCCAGGCAGCCCCTCAGGACAGGCCGGTGTGTCTGCACTCTCATCCCCCCTCTTCTCTAGCCTCTCAGCTTCTTACCCCCACACTGCATCTCTGCCTGCCCCCAACTCGCCAGGGCCCCTCTTCGCACACGCCCTCCCAGGGCTCTTGTCCTGGGCTCCTTCCGGGGCTGCGCCCTCTCCCCCCCCCCCCCAGTCAGTGTCTCTGTGACGCTCCCAGAGCCGCATGGCTCCACTAACCCTTGTACAGTTTGTTCCTTACCAGTGAGGCCTTGTCTGTGGCCGGCGCTGCTGGGTCTGCACACTCCAAGTCTGTTTACTCACCACAGAACAGGCTTGGTGAGCAGCACGTAAGACGGAAGAGTGCATCAAGCCCCAGGTACCCTTTCTGTTTTTTTTTTGAGGTTCTGGGGGTCTCAGGCCAGGTAAGCGCTCTGCCACCGAGCTACATGCCCAGGCCCCGAGAACAAATACTCTCTGGAACCTGTACATGATCAGGGACTTGGAGCTACCTCGCCAAGATGAGGGCAGCTGGCCACAAGTGGCGGCAGCCTGGGCGGCCCTGGGCGTCTCACATCTTGGCTCCTGCACTTAGGCAGCATAGAGGCCTTCTCGTGAGTCGGGAGAGCTCAGCGTGACACGCCTGGGGTCACTGAAGACTGAGCACAGGCCCCCACCTCCCTCGAGCCTGCATGGAGCATGCGGGCCCCACCCGTGAGCACGCACAGTGTGTCCAGGCTGGGTTCACTAAACCCCTATAATGCCTGCTGGGGCCCCCAAGCAGGAGGTGGCGATGGGATAAGGATGTCTTTACCTTCAAGTTTGTCCCCAAGAGCTGGCTCCAGAACGGACTTTGGGATCCTGCGGGTAGCTTTCCTCTGGGGGGCCTTGGCCTTACCCACAGCAGCCAAGTCCCTCTGTCGAGCGGCTTCTTTCTGCTGCTCTTCCTTCTCCAGGAAGCTGAAGGGCTTCAGGGATGACAAGAGCAGTTCCTTCCTCCGCTGGATCCCTGCCCGCCTCCGGGCCTCACTGCGCTCTACCATCTCCTGGTACAGGGGCAGGTAGACGTGTGCTGGCACAGGCTGTGCCCGGAACTGCCGGTGGCACTCAGCCTCCTCCTGGCCCTGCCTCTGGGCCCGCTGCCTCTCCTGCTCAAAGGAGGCTGGTGAGGCCAGCCACTGCGCTTTCTTCTGGGCCTCCCGCAGGGTCATGAGGAACGGACGAGGGACGGTGATGGAGGATGCCCAGGAGCTGAGGCTTCTTCGCTGGGAAGGAGGCCCAGAGCCCGAGGGGGGCCGGGCCTGGGCCCTGGGCCCGGCACAGGGGAGGCTGCTCAGGGAACTGCACCGCCTCGTGGAACCACACCTGCGGGGCAGAGCAGACCTGTGTACGGAGGACAGGCTGTCGGAGGCCCGCTGCTCCCGCCTGCTCCTCCAGGCTACATGGCGGCTCCCAGCCCACCTCCCATCTCACAGCCCCACAGGCCTCCCTCTCCCCCAGGCAGTCCTGGTTGCCCATCAGTAGCTCTTCAAAACTGAGCCATAAATGGCCAATCTGCATTTTTTTTTTTTTTTTTTTTTTTTTTTTTGTATATGAGAGAGAAACTGCAATGGGGCACAATAGGGACTCAGGAAGATCCAAGTTAAAACCTTGCTTCAAAACCAGGCATGGGGGCAAGGCCTGTAATCACTTGGGAGTCTGAGGCAGGAGGATCACCATGAGTTTGAGACCAGCCTGGGCTACAAAGTGAGTTCAACGCCAGCCTGAACTACATAGTGAAACCCTGTCTCAAAAAGACAACAACAAAAATAAAGAAAACCTTGGGGCCCGGGAGATGGCTCAGTAGAATAATTACTCCCCTGGCAAGCACAAGGGCCTGAGTTCAGTCCCCAGGTCCACCAAAAAAAAAAAAAAAAGAAAGAAAGAAAGAAAGAAAGAAAGAAAGAAAGAAAGAAAGAAAGAAAGAAAACTTTGCTTCATTCAAGGAGATTATGGAGCCAAAGAGGAAAGTGATCGATGACGTAGAGTGTGCCTAAGGAGAGTCACATGGGGAGAAGACACTCTCTCAGGCTTTCACAGAGAGCACATTGGCCAAGCAATGGCCGTGACTCATCCACATGGCTGACACTGACAAAGGATCTACAATCTGAGGTACAGGATCTCAGGATAAATCCTGAGGGGATTTCACTGACCTTCTCAGACCCAAAAGCTACAACTCTTGTTGCACAGGTCCTGCTTTACCTTGGTCTTAACCATCCAGTAGAAAAGTATGAAGACGAAATATAGGAAGTAAAGCCATGTTGTTATGTTGAGCTGTGGGGGACTCAGGTCAACAATTTCTGACATTGCCAGTTAAACAGAAGACCCAACGCTATTATGGGCTACTGGACTCTTTTAGAATATTTTGCTGAGTTTACACACCTATAATATTCAATAACGGAACTTAAAAAAAAATGGGGTATAACTATGAATGTCCATTTTGTATCTGTGTATTCAAAGTGGTTGGGATAGATACATAGTTGCATTCTCTTAATGAATAGAATGATTTGTTCTAATGGTGTTTGTAAATAGGATCACAAGTCTGCATCTTGTACAGCAATTAACCACTAAGAAGAATATATGCAGTGTAGTATTTGTTGAAACTGTACTTTCGATCTGATTTGAAACTGTCTCATTGCTATATGTTTATCAATAAAACTTTGAAAACAAAAAAAAATTATAAAATCCTAGGAGCAGGGGCCGGGGAGATGGCTCAGTAGGATAAGCGCTTGACTGACAAATGCAAAGATCTGAGTTCAATCCCCGGTTCCGCCAAAAAAAAAAAAAAAATCCTAGGAGTAGGTTTTAAACCACTGTTCTTGATCCTTCATTTTGTTTTTTAATTCAATGAGACTTTTTGATGTGTGTATATGTGACATGCATGACAATCTTTGCTGTTCCATACATCGTCAATTGTATGCAAGTTATGAATATAACACATTTTTATTTTATATAAAACAAATAAAAATTAAATTAAAAAATAAAAAAAGAAAACTTTGCTTCAGACATTGAAGTTTTGCATTTCTTTTTTTTATTTTTTTATTTGTTTTATTTTTATTTTTTCAAAGTTTTATTGATAAACAGATAGCAATGAGACAGTTTCAAATCAAATCGGAAGTACAG